CACTGGACCCTTGTCACTCAAAAAATTGTGCCAGAGAGCTCTGTTTCTGGTGTCTCTAAGATTTGCCTAAAATGGGACAAGGCATTGTCACTGAACACATACTTGCCTAGTTGTGGCTGCAGGGGTTGAGTCACAGCTCCTGGGCCCGCCTCTTCAACTGGCCGCTACCCGGTCACTCTTCCCGCTCCGTGAGCTTTATCATGCCTCTTCTTGAAGCTATGTATGGAACCTGCCTCCACTACATCACTACTCAGGCTATTCCACTTCCTGACAACTCTGTGACTGAAGAAATACTTCCTAACATCCCTGTGGTTCATCTGAGTCTTCAGCTTCTGTGACCACTTGTTGTTGTGTCACATCTCTGGAACATCCTGTCTGTCCACCTTGTCTATGCCCCTCGGTATTTTATATGTCGTTATCATATCCCCCCTCACTCTCCTATCTTCCAGTGTTGTCAGGTCGATTTCCCTTCACCTCTCCTCATAGGACATACCCCTTAGCTCCAGGACTAGTCTTGTTGCAAACCTCTGCACTTTCTCTAGTTTCCTAACATGCTTGGCTAGGTGAGGGTCGCAGACACGGTCTGCAACAGCTTTGTTAGGGTGATATTCCTCCAATGTTTACACCTCACTCCACTTTGCACACATGTCCTTAACCCTTTGAGGGTCGACAGGCCCTCTCCGAAACTCGTTCTCAGGGTCGGCCAAATTTAAAAAAAAAAAAAAATTATTTTCTCTTATGAAAAGATAGAGAATCTTTTCCCGATCATAAAGACACCAAAAGTTTGAAATTTGATAGAAAACTTATGGAATTATGCTCTCGCAAAGTTAGCGGTCTCGGCGATGTTTACGCATCGGCGATTTTGCCCACTTTGAGCCCCATTTTCGGCCAATTTCACTGTACTAGTCGACAAAAAACATGAATATTTCGCTAGAACTCCATTTTTTCTATCGAATGGGTGCAAGAAACCACTCATTTATGAAATTCAACTATCCAGTACAGTGGTCAGAATTTAGCAATTTTGCCAATTTCACACAAATTTCAAAAGATGCCAATTTCCGAATAGGGTCCAGAATAAACAACAAAGACATTCCTGGCACTAAAATGACATTTCCTCTAGTCATTAGTCATGTCTCAAGGCCCCTCTTATATTCTTTTGCTTTCCACTTTGAATTTTTATTTTCACAAAAAATATAAGATTTACTGTTATGCAGACTACTGCATTAGTGTAAAAAATGGTATAAATATTATTGGCGCACTTGTGAAAGAATATTAGACTCACCAGTTGACGTGTATTGCACGCTTGGCACGATTTGTTTACTTTTGAAGTTTGGTAAAAATCGAACATTTCTGCTACTTTGAGCTCAATTTCAAGGCACCTTTCTTTGTAAAACCAGCCAAAATCATCTCAATTTCTGTAATATGTCTTCCATTCTATAAAATGAGACCAAGAAAACTAGAATACAACATTAAATACCATACGAAAATACACTGCAAAGTCGCTGATTTATTAAAAAAAAAAATGGTCAAAGTTTTTTTTTTTCTCATTATGCACTGTGTGCTGCAGGATTTTTTTTAGACTGTGCACACTGACCACATAGACCCATTCTTTCATATGAAGGCCTACCAGCTTTTTCCCACTAGATTTGAGGCCGCTAGAATTTATGAGTACTAGTACGTCAAAAACCCCTACGCGTAAGACGCGTAAGACGTACTAGTACGACGAAAACCCTCAAAGGGTTAATCACTGAAGAAGGCACCTTCCCTCTCTCTTCCTCCCCGTGAAGCAATTTCCTAAGCTGTGCTCTGTTGCTGTTGCAGATGAAGGTCTTGCAGCTCTTCACTGTGGTCCTCCACCAACTCTTCCACATCCTTGCCACACACATCCAACCCCATGGAATTCCCCAATGACACAATACATTAACCCTTTGACTGTCGCGGCCGTATATATACGTTTGCGAGGTACCGTGTTTGACGTATATATACTCATAAATTCTAGCGGCTTCAAATCAGGCAGGAGAAAGCTAGTAGGCCCACATGTGAGAGAATGGGTCTGTGTGGTCAGTGTGCACCACATAAAAAAAATCCTGGAGCACGCAGTGCATAATGAGAAAAAAAAACTCCGACCGTTTTTTTTAATTAAAATGCCGAATTTGTGGTCTATTTTCGTATAGTATTTTTGGTTGTATTCTCGTTTTCTTGGTCTCATTTGATGGAATGGAAACTATATTATAGAAATGGAGGTGATTTTGATTAATTTTACTATAAAAAGAACCTGGAAATGGAGCACAAAGTACAGGAAATGTTTGATTTTTGCCGATGTTCAAAATTAAACAAATGATGTCATTGTCCAATAAAAGTCCAAATAGCCATTCTAATACGCAGTCATGAATGGGTTGATGTAATTTTTACAATTATTACAGTATTGCAGTAGTCTGCATAACAGTAAATTTTCTATTTTTTGTTTGAATAAAATTTCAAAATAAAAAGCAAGAGTAATATCACAGGGACCTGGAGACATGACTGATGAACAAAGAAAATGTTATTTTAGAGCCAGGAATGTCTGCATTGTTCATTCTGGACCTTATTTTGAAATAGTCGTATTTTTTAATTTTCGTGAAATTGGCCAAATTGCAAATTTCTGACCATGTTATTGGGTAGTTGAAATCGGTAAATGGGCAGTTTCTTGTACTCAGTCGAAATAGTTATGAGTTTGGTTGACTGGAATAACGGAATTAGCCGAAAATAGGGCTCAAAGTGGGCGAAATTGCCGATTTTTAAATATCGCCGAAGTCGCTAACTTCGCGAGAGCGTAATTCCGTCAGTTTTCCATCAAATTTCGTTTTTTTGGTGTCTTTACAATCGGGAAAAGATTCTCTATCATTTCATAAGAAAAAATAATTTTTTTTTTTTTAAATTTTGCGACACCAGGAGACACCTCAGGATTTGGGGTTGCGACAGTCAAAGGGTTAAACAACAGGCATAGGGTCGACAAGGTCAGCTCCAAACCCTTCAAAATCCTTCTCTTGGACACATTCTGGCCACATGGTGGCTTATTTAGAAGTTGCAAGCACAAAAAAACAATGGATTTTTACAAAATGTTTCGTATGAACGCGCGGGGTGATGCTCACTCGCCGAGAAATAATGCCACACTGACTCAGAATGTGGGTGTGAGAGGCTTTGTGTGTGCATGGCCACTGGGACATGTTCTGTATGACTGCCGAAATCAGAGGGAAATCACAAAAACAGAGGCTATATTTTGATGCAAAAAGTTGCCGATAATCAAAATTCACAAAAACAGAGACTCACAAAAACCGAGGGTCCACTGTATATCATAATACCTACTGTAATATAAAGTAATATCTAATATTAATGATAGTGCAATTGCCTTTTCCTGTACGTGGTCAAATGTTCTAATCGGAGCACACATGATTTGACCTGATCTTGACTGTCTGCTCACCTTTCCTGACACCCATTTTCTCCTACCCCTCACCAGTTATTTAGCAGGGCAGAAACATTTGTACATACAGTACACATACTGTAGTTTCCTTTCCAAATTGTGGTCTTTTAACCCTTTGACTGTCGCAACCCCAAATCCTGAGGTGTCTCCTGGTGTCGCAAAATTTAAAAAAAAAAAAAAAAAAATATTTTTTCTTATGAAATGATAGAGAATCTTTTCCCGATTGTAAAGACACCAAAAAAACGAAATTTGATGGAAAACTGACGGAATTACGCTCTCGCGAAGTTAGCGACTTCGGCGATATTTAAAAATCGGCAATTTCGCCCACTTTGAGCCCTATTTTCGGCTAATTCCGTTATTCCAGTCAACCAAACTCATAACTATTTCTTCAGAACTATTTTTTCTATCGATTGAGTACAAGAAACTGCCCATTTATCGATTTCAACTACCCAATAACATGGTCAGAAATTTGCAATTTGGCCAATTTCACGAAAATTAAAAAATACGACAATTTCAAAATAAGGTCCAGAATGAACAATGCAGACATTCCTGGCTCTAAAATAACATTTTCTTTGTTCATCAGTCATGTCTCCAGGCCCCTCTGATATTACTCTTGCTTTTTATTTTGAAATTTTATTCAAACAAAAAATAGAAGATTTACTGTTATGCAGACTACTGCAATACTGTAATAATTGTAAAAATTACATCAGCCCATTCATGACTGCGTATTAGAATGGCTATTTGGACATTTATTGGACAATGACATCATTTGCATACTTTTGAACATCGGCAAAAATCAAACATTTCCTGTACTTTGTGCTCCATTTTCAGGTTCTTTTTATAGTAAAATTAATCAAAATCACCTCCATTTCTATAATATAGTTTCCATTCTATCAAATGAGACCAAGAAAACGAGAATACAACCACAAATACTATACGAAAATAGACCACAAAGTCGGCATTTTAATTAAAAAAAAACGGTCGGAGTTTTTTTTTTCTCATTATGCACTGCGTGCTCCAGGATTTTTTTTATGTGGTGCACACTGACCACACTGACCCATTATCTCACATGTGGGCCTACTAGCTTTCTCCTGCCTGATTTGAAGCCGCTAGAATTTATGAGTATATATACGTCAAACACGGTACCTCGCAAACGTATGTATACGGCCGCGACAGTCAAAGGGTTAATATGCTTGTGTCCTCTCCCATCTCTTGACGATAACATATTTGTTACAAACATTATACTATTTGCTTTCTAAATAACACTGGTTTGCTTCACCTGAAACCATCATCCTCTTAACTAATTTTCTTCCCTCAAAGCTGTCTCTCACCAACCCCTCTGCTGTGAAGTGCCAGATGACCTTTACTGGTTTAGTGTTTTCCATGATTATAGTAATTCCAAACTGTTTGTTAGTTGAGAATTGCTTTACAGTAGTATTATAACTTTTATTCTACTCTGTAAAGTAATTCCTTATGGTTCTTTGCTATACAGTAGTGTTAATATACCTTGAACACCACCAGGTTAATAAAATGAAAAGTATTGAGGTGAAAAATGTTCAATGTTATAACTGATGACTGAGAATTTTGTGACATTTTATAAACACTACTTATAACTGGAGTTCCTAGTTTAGTTAACTGGAATCATTGTTTATACTTTATTCAAGTTTGATGCTACTGGTACGTGCCTCTCCACCCTTTAACAAATAGGTTATAGTCTATTGATTGATTTTATTCACAAGTGAGATTAATAATGCAACAAAGACCAGCTGAAGTATGGCCTGTTCAAGGATCTACGTAATATATTAAAAAGTAATTATACAGTGGACCCCCGGTTAACGATATTTTTTCACTCCAGAAGTATGTCCAGGTGCCAGTACTGACCGAATTTGTTCCCATAAGGAATATTGTGAAGTAGATTAGTCCATTTCAGACCCCCAAACATACACGTACAAACGCACTTACATAAATACACTTACATAATTGGTCGCATTCGGAGGTGATCGTTATGCGGGGGTCCACTGTATTTATATTTTATGATTATGTGCAACTTGCCTTTTCATAACAATCACTGGAAGAAATTAATGTGATATTGATTATATTCTGAATAAAAATAACAGCTTATGGAAATTAGTTGTCTATAGTGGGAAATAAAATTATGAGCCAGCTCAGTTTCTCTGGCCACATCCTATCCTACCATTTCCACTTTACTACCTCATTCCCAATTACTATTATTAATACAATCATAACTAAGTGCTAAGCCACCCACTAGGGTCATACAGCACCTCGTTCCCAAGTACTGTGTAATACTTACGGGTTTAACACCTCCCAATTATAATTATTCAAGCGATAATGAGGTACTGTATTTTTTTGTCCAAACATTATATTTCACGACTATTAATTCAGCCCAAAGTTTTTATCTATATTTCTCAAAGAATCTGGAAATCACTATGATTTAGACACTCAATGCTGTATGACCCATTTGGGTTTAGTGCATGTTTTTGAAAATAATAATACCTTGAAACCTTTACTTTTTGTTTTTTTTTGACTATCATTTTACAGTGCCTTTCAAAAAAATATATTTTCTTCACATTCCAATGTGGCTTTTCCTAAAAGTTAATATACAACATGAATATACAGCATTTGCTAATTTCTCTGCTATTTTTTTTATCTGTATGAAAACTTAACAGTTTCAAAATGGCAACATTAACAGCTAAAGCTGCCAGCAGCAACACCCTGTGCACTAGTTACTGTAGTGTATGCATGTCTGGTCACTACAAATATTATTTATCACTTGATTTATATGATAAAATATTCTTATTACCAAAAACTTTTATTTTTTTGGAGTTAGATATTGAAGGGCAGGGGAAATTAATTTGCCTCTTTGCCTTTTGAGGAATTAAAGTAGCACTGCACACCTGTAGTGAGACATGTGGCCCTGAAATAGGTATTGTATTAGTGTTGGCACATTTAACAATAGAGTCAGATTCATCTTTCTCATCTACATGTATCTCGTGTGAAGGTTCTTGTACACAGTTACTAACATTACTTGAGGTTGATGGACCACAATACTGATATGGAAGTGCACTACTTGAAACACTAGTTTGGTTTATTATTCCATCATCTTTTGAGGGCTTGTCCATTTCTGGTATATCACTTACTAAATCTTGGTATACGTTTCTTAACTCTGGTTTTAAATACATGAGATACCGTTCAGCTGCTCCACTTAAAAATTTGCTCTTCTTTTTTTTGGATGGATTGACCATAGATGGGTCCTGTTGGTACCTGGTGAGAGCTGCAACAGTCTTCCTCCTCTCTGTGAGTTTTTCTCTCGTCTCCTCCACAGATTCCAGTTCTGGCGCATAACACACATGAAGAACACCGCCATAGTATGATTTCCCATCTAACTGAATCTTAGCAAATCTGGCATTTTTGATGTGAAGATACTTCAGTAAGTATGCCTCAGTATACTCTTCATGAGGATAATCAGGTAATATCTTCAGTACCTCGATGTCTCCATATTTCAAACACATTGCCTCGAGCTCACTTGTGATCTTGATAGCCGGAACACCACTGACAATTAGATACTTGGACTCATCATTGACAGTATAGACCTTTACGGCTGTCAGCTTCCTTCCTTGCCTGTACTTAGCTCTTGTCTGGCACAGCTGCAGCTGCTCATGGTGTGCAAGTTTTTCAACCCGAGCATTGCAACTCATGTCTCTCGTAACACTATGATAATATGTGCAGTGCTTGAAGATTTCTTAATAATTTATGCAATGTTATTAAGAAGTCTGAAGCAATCCCGAAGGTCACAACTCTTACTGATTTTAAAAATGTTATTCAGAAGGCTGCAATAATCTCAAGGTGTATGAGCCTAGCCACCATCAGAAATGTTCATAATAAAATTGCAAGCATCGTGAGGTATGATGAACCTTGTTGTTATAAGTGTTGTTCAGAAGCAAGCAACATCCCTGGGGTTGTTGCAACAGTTCATAAGAAGGTTGTGATAATTACGAGTCAACTCGTTACACTACTGGCGAGAGGTTGGCCTTCAAGTGTATGTGAGCACAAACATTTATTATATAATGGTGGATGGCAGGAATGTGCTACCTGAGCTGTGCTGTGCTTGGTATAACCTCAGTCACAGTTCATTATTCTTAAGATGGTAATGTTGGTGGCAGCAGCTGAGGCATAATACACACCACTGGGGCTCTTCTCTACAAGTATGTGTGCACAACTGTTGTCGAAGTAAATAAACATTATTTTCTTCTTCTTCAGGATACATGTGTTTAACTTTTTCTTTCTTTCTTTCTTTATTGGGTTTATCAGTGGCACTGACAGTATAAGGTGTATCAAGCGCAGCTTCACGATGGCACCAGGAAGATTGTTGCACAACGCTCAGAGAAAAGGAATAAAAGTTTCTTTGTAAACAGACATAGAAACTTGAAGTCTGCAATTAGATCCTGGCTAAAGTAAGTTGATGAACAGGTGGGTCTCCTGTACACTGTCGCCGGCACAACACACCACCACCAGCCGCCCTCACACAACACTCCAAACTTGTCACCGATACTCAGGCGTCCACAGCCGATGTCTACAGCCGACGTCCACAGCCGACAAAGGCTGGCGCAGAAGTCCCGTTAACTTAGACGTTCCTTCATACTTAAGAAAAAAAATTTATACCGTGTGTTATTTTCAACATGTATTTCAAGTTATGGTTGTTGGCCGTCCATACAATACCAAGTTCCTGTATATTATTATAACATGTATCAATAAATGTAAAAATATATACAATTCAGTTTCCTATAATAATGTCTAATACTAATAACTGTCTTCTGTGATTTTATTTGGTGAAAATAACAAGAGTTGTTTGTTTACGGTGTTGAGGAGGATCCAGTTAAAGTATCTAAGACTATTAGGTTCACCATCAACACTTGTGTGATCCTTTATAAGTTAACATTATGATGGTATGTTGTGAGTGTCAGTCTGCTCATAACTTGACACTTGAGCAACTCTGGTCGTGTCACTTATTGTGTTGTGCAGCCATGATGGTAGGCGTTGCTCTGCTTATTACACCCGTAATTACTTAATATTTTGCGATATTACATTCTAAGCTCACATTAGATTAACTAATTGAAGCAATCTTGTTGCAGGACGGGATGGATGAAGTTCTTCACAGCGAAACAAATGGAACTAAGGTGTGTTAGTCAACTTGTACTGATTAACAGCAAGTCAATGAATTGTGATTGTCTCAACTTTCCAATCTCTCATATATTATATCTTTATTATCCACATGTAAATGAATTGGGTGTTTCCTTAATTTTGCTACTTTTCCATTTCCAACACCACGAAGCTTGGTAAGTCTTGTATTATCTTTTAGATAAATTCATGTATGCTAATAGTTACCATGAGCAAAATCCTGTGTATTATTTTACAAAGCAGTGTGAATAATCCACAAAGGTTTACCACTGTGTGACTATAATAATAATGTTAATTTCTAGCTGATCTTGTTTAAGTGAATCCACTGGAAGTCGTTCTGGTTTGAGTGATCTTTCTTGTCTGGCATTTTGAGATATTCAGGAAATATTACTCTTCAAGAGAGGTTCCTTGATGCTGCTGGTGAGGGGCTCTTGATTCAAGGAATTTGGCTTTTCCTTGGAACAAACCCGATTGTTTCCCATTCCCCAGGTGCTGTATTACTCCCAGCGGGTTTAACGCTTCTCCCTAAAATAATGTGTATAGTGAAATATTTGCACCTAACTGAAACCTCAAGGCCTACCTGTCGCCAAGGTAGATACTGTTGTATTGTTTGTCAGTCAATTCTACTGTACAGGGAGTGTCACCAAGATATCATTTGACTGCCATTTAATTCCACTAATGTTATACTTGGCTGGATAGCAGTTGGTGGTTATGGAGTTATGGAGCTGCAGTCCACTCTGCAGCAACAGTCTTCTATGCTTGCCTCTAAGCGCCTACTCACCTATTTGTAGCTTCAGGAGCAGAGTTATGGTTGTGGTGTTAAATCTCTGTTCTTTACCATAAATAACATCTTTAAGTCAACATTTCTCCTCAAGGAAGGTTCCTTGATGCTGGTGAGGGGCTCTTGATCTAGGGAATTGTATCTGTGCTCCAGTTCCTTGAATTAAGCCTGAATACCTTCCATCCCCCCCACAGAAGCTGTATAATCGTGTGGGCTTAGCGCTTCCCCCTTGATTATAATAATAAGTCAACATTTACCTGCTTACAGCCATATAACCACTTAGGTGTAGAGGCATTCTGGATAAAGCTGGACTAAATCTGAGGTTTACTACAGTAGTTGAAGACATAAGTTTTTTTTTTTTTCTCAAATAGGAGATGATAGGTGGAATGTAAGGGTCATATGTGGTGTGACTTTTCTAGGGTCGATATAGTACAGTAATTGATCTTGTATTTTACTGATGTGTTGACAAATGAATGGTTTTTCATACATGTATTTATTTCAGAGTGGGAGATCTGACACTGTGGATCTTAACGACAGCTCACTTCAAGTGGATATTTCTGATGCTTTGAGTGAAAGAGAAAAAGTCAAGTTTACTGTCCACACAAAAGTAAGCTCAGATTTCATTCATTATAAAATAGTTTTGTCTTAGAAAAAATGTTTCCTGCAATTTTTTTTTTATAAATTAAGCAGTATTTGTATATTTTTATGCTATAAACAGGAGCACAGTCTATTAAGACCATCTGCATATATAATGAATTCAACATGTACTGTCTTGTAACTTTCAGAAAACCTGTTAGCCCTTTCTGTTGCTTAATCATTTACAGTATTATTTTTGTATATAAATATTGGAAAATTGCCAACAGCATGTTAGGTAAAAATGAAACTAGTAACTATTGAGAAATTACAGCTGTTTCACTGTCCAGAAACTTTATAAAACTCCGGGAGAGCAAAATATAGTCATAATAAATGTATCGGCTGATTTTGATTATGTCAGTATTGTGGGTATCAACCTAAAATTTACTGTTCCCTCAAAAAGGTACCTTATTGCTGGTGAGGGGCTCTTGATCTAAGGAATTGGATCTATTCCTCCCTTGGATTGAACCTGTTTGCCTCCTCTTCCTATGTCATGTGGGTTTCGAAAACGTGGATAGAGTAAAAATACTCACGTAGGCTGGTAGTACGTATAATATAACGGAATGTGTGTGAAGGCGCCAACCGGCGTCCTGCCTCTCTGCTCTCTATCGTAAGACTAACTGACCCACAGTGCCTATGTGAGGGGGTGTTTGAAATCCTGCTATGGTCAGCAGCATGAATACAGTCAGTGATTCACGCAGAGACGGTTGGTAGTGAGTCGTTTCGAAAACGTGGATAGGGTAAGCGGCTAGCTACGGTTCACCTTTGACCTGCCGGCTCCCCACAAACAGTCTTCTAACTTCTTGAAATACCCTTAAATCCACGCTCCCCCACCGCTGCCACCATTTGTCATGTGGGTTTCGAAAACGTGGATAGGGTAAAAATACTCACGTAGGCTGGTAGTACGTATAATATAACGGAATGTGTGTGAAGGCGCCAACCGCCGTCCTGCCTCTCTGCTCTCTATCGTAAGACTAACTGACCCACAGTGCCTATGTGAGGGGGTGTTTGAAATCCTGCTATGGTCAGCAGCATGAATACAGTCAGTGATTCACACAGAGACGGTTGGTAGTGAGTCATCTACTGGTACACTGGTTACTGGTAACTGGTTACTAGGAACTGGTACTACTACTGAGACCTATGCTCTGAATGACCCCCTATTGATATGTTTAGTGCTTCCCAGTAATTATAATTAACAGCTGTATTGTGTATGTATATTACATAGCAAGATTGAGAGAAGCTAGTTGTATAAGTGATGCATTATTATAGTTTCTTTACTGTCAGAATATTTTAGTGGACATTTTTTCTTTAGTATCCATACTTTTTTTTTTTGTATGGTTGAGAATTGGTTGGTCATTGGGGTTTAAAGCCTATTACGGTTGTCCATGAAAAAACCATACCACAGGCAGGGTTAGAACTCGCGATCAGAGAGTCTCAAAACTCCAGAATATCACGTTAGTCACTAGGCCAGCTAGCCACAATAAGATACATCCAGTTAGGTATACAGTGGACCCCCACCTTATGATGGCATCGCGTTACGTTAAATCCGCCATACGATACATTTGAACGCAAAAATTTTGCCTCGCCTCACGCTAAAAAACTCGCCTCACGTGATTCATGGGACACGTCCCACGTGTGGCCTCAGCGCCAGTGTTTACAAGAAAGCTAGTGCAGTCGCATCCACGCATACATTCAGTACATTTCACCTTATCCCAGTGTTTTTTGTGCTTGTAACTGCAAAATAAGTCACCATGGGCCCCAAGAAAGCTTCTAGTGCCAACCCTGTGGTAAAAAGGGTGAGAATTAGTATGGAAATTAAGAAAGATTTTGAAGGGTTTAGGGCTAACCCTAAGAAGCCTATGCCAGTTGTGGAATCCATTGTGCCTACTTCAGAGATTAAGGAAATGTGTGCAAAGTGGGTTGAACTGCAAACCTTTATGGATGAAAAGCACCCTAACAGCTATTGCAAGCCATGCTGGTGACTATTACAATGACAGTGTTGTGGCCCATTTTAGGCAAATCTTAAAGGAATGGGAGGTACAGAGCTCTGTGGACAGATTTGTTGTGCGACAGAGGTCCAGTGACTCTCAAGCTGGTCCTAGTGGTATTAAAAGAAGAAGGGAAGTAACCCCAGAAAAGGACTTGATACCTCAAGTCCTAATGGAAGGGGATTCCCATTCTAAACAATAACAACTTCCACACTTTCCCCTCCTCCCATCCCATCAATCATCACCAGATCTTCAATAAAGGTAAGCATCATGTATTCTATTCTTAGGAGAGTATTAATTGTGCATGTCTTAAGTTTGTGAGTATTAAAATTAATATTTCATGTGGTAATTTTTTTTTTTCAGACTTTTGGGTGTCTTGCACAGATTAATTTGATTTCTATTATTTCTTATGAGGAAAATTAATTCACCTTACGATAATTTTGGCTCACGATGAGCTCTCAGGAACGGATTAATATCATAAGGCGGGGGTCCACTGTATGTATACACCACAGGAAGGTTAGCATAGGCACCACTGTGACCACAAATGCAAGTTTTTACAGATGAATCTCTGGCTAGCGTGGCCGTGATGAACTCTAGCTCAAGTGCTCTCAAAGCCGTCAACATGACTCATGAAATCGTAATGACACGATTGGAAACAAACCATACCACGGGCGGGGTTAGAACCTGCGATCAGAGAGAGAGAGACTGATCATGGGTTCTAACCCCGCCTGTGGTATGGTTTGTTTATAATCGTGTCATTACAATTTCGTGAATCATGTTGTCCATGAATTTTACATGTAGTATAATGAGTCAGTGAAATGTGCAGTATATGGTTGGATGGTCTTACATAGACCAGAGGAGTATAGCTAATATTGTTGTGTAACAATATTTTGGTACTGTTCAATATTTAATTTTGTATCAAAAAATGATTAAACTTCCAGTGGTTTTAGCACATTCTATTTCCTCTGTAACCTATTTTATTCATTCTACAGCTATAAATTATTAGTAAGGTCTCCTTTAGATTATGCACTGCATTTCTGGTCTCCATACCACAGAATAATTTAAATTAATTCAATAACATACATAGAAGGATGACAGAATCTTACTTATTAGATAAACAAAGGTCCCTGAATCTGCATGCTCTTAAAAGCCATAAAATTAGTGGAACTATGAATGAGGTATACAAGAGAAAGACAAGTATAAATTAGAGAGATCAGTAGGGTGCTGAGAATATCTATCCAAGAAAAAACTAAACTTTGTCTCCAAGTTGGATAAATTGCAATAGTGAAAGGATAGGAAAGTGAAGTACTGGTTTAGTAGTAAGATTTGGTCATTGAAGCTAATATCTTGGGTAGCTTTAAAAATAGGTTACACAAATATATGAATGATATAGGTTAGAGTTGAGAAGGTCTTGTCTGGCATGAGCCAGTAGGCCTGTTGTAGTGCTCTTCTATTCTTATGTTCTTGTATTTAATTCTCAATTACTCTAATATACTCAGATCTTAAATAGAGCACAAGTTGTTCAGATAATTCTTATAAACTTGCAAGAAGAATGTACCAATGCCCTATTTTCTACCACACTTCATAGACAAATCTTTTACAGTTTTTTTTTTATTTTTTTTTCAACTTTCTTACTTTTAATGCTGTCATGAAGATCTTTGTAGTCTGCAGAAAGGGTAAAAGACAAAAACATGCCTGGATTGCTTGCCATCTCTGTGGTAAATGGTCCCATAATACTATATGCTTGGATTTTAAACCAGTGACCACACTTGACATAAACTCAGAGAGATGTTTTTGGGTCTGCCCAAATGAGATACACCTGTATGTGGAAATGACATCTGTATTAAAAGACAAGAGCACCAATAAAATACAGTGGAACCTCTACTTGTGAGTTTAATCCATTCCATGACCTTGCTTGCAACTGGATTTGCTCGTTTGAAGAGTCAATTTTCCTCATTTAAATTAACTGAAATGCAATTAATCCATTCCAGTGGAATTCTGTACTTCAATAATTTTGCTAATATCAACTCTATGGCTTATTTATCTATCTCACTTCATCTAATATGACATAATAAACAATATAAATAACATAGAAACCTGATATATACTCTAAAATGAATAAAATATGTCATTCATGTAGTGGTATGGGCAGTGTCGGCGTTGGACGAGAGTTTGTCTGGAGACCGGGCAAAATATTTCATGAATAATTTCGCTAATATCATCTATACGGCTTATTTATATACGTATCACAGTTCATCTGATATGACATAACAAACAATATAAATAACATAGAAACATGATATATACTCTAGAATGATTAAAATATGTCATTCATGCAGTGGTATGGGCGGTGTCGGTGGTGGACGAGTTTGTCTGGAGACCGGGCAAAATACGTACTTCATGAATAATTTCGCTAATATCATCTATACGGCTTATTTATATATCACAGTTCATCTAATATGACATAACAAACAATGTGAATAACATAGAAATATGATATATACTCTAGAATGAATAAAATGTCATTCATGTAGTGGTATGGGCGGTGTCGGCAGTGGACGAGAGTTTGTCTGGAGACCAGGCAAAATACTTCATGAATAATTTCACTAATATCATCTATACGGCTTATTTATACATCATAGTTCATCTAATATGACATAACAAATAATGTAAATAACATAGAAACATGACATATACTCTAGAATGAATAAAATATGTCATTATGTAACAAGTGGAGGCAGCCACAACAGCTCCCTCTTTGTTGTGGTAAACACTGCCATTTAGTGACGACCTTTTGAAGCCGTCTATTATTATAATTATATGTAGTACATTATTATTATATATGTATTATTATTATTATTCTTATGATTTTTATTGCATTATATTATACTATTATTATTATTATACTATTATTATTATACGTATTATTATTATACATATTATTATTATACATATTATTATTATACATATTATTATTATTTTTTTT